AACAGAAATAAGCCATTTCTGAGGTGCTGGGGAATGTTACTTGATAAATTTACTAGGAGCCTAGAGAAAACTGAAGTTGCTGCTCTCTGACTACAACATTCAAGTTTATCATTTGTGTGTAACATAAAAGGGCAATTAGGTGTTAAAATTTAATCAACATGAAACATTAATGCCTTAGGTTGAAACAGAGAATGGCACAATAATGGCATTACAAAGGGTGAAAATAGCACCATTACTCTCATTGACATCATCAATGTGTTTGCTTCAGTGAACTGTACCTCCAAAATGAAAAAACAAAAAAGTCATTTGTAAGGAAGTTATCACCAATATTCAGCTTTCTTCTTGCCCAACTGTAGAATGACCTATATTCTATAAAAATGAAAAAAATACATCTAACCAAAACATAGATTTCTTTGTTCATTTAAAACACAGCAACATTTGGCAGATTTCCTTTATCATCTTTGAGTTAGTGTGATTGCATTAGAGAAATTAAAAAGTTGATCATTATACAAAAATATGAAATATTGCTTCTTGGGGGCAATAGGTACTATTTAATGTAAACTCAACAAACATTTATTTGGCTATCAATCTACAAGTCATTAATTACCTACTATGGCCCAGACATATAATAATGCATAAACATATACATACATAATCACTCTTATGAGTGCCAAATCCATATTTCTAACTGCCAACCGGAGATTCCATCAGAAAATCCCACAGGCACTTCAAAGTCCACAAGGCCAAATGGTAACAGCCCTGTATGTACACATTATTATGTGTAGCTCTATATATATCTACACATATATATGTGCACTCTATACATACATACATATATGTGTAGACCTATTTAAAGATATATGAATTTTGAAATGAGAGCCAGAAGACTTACATTCTGAGATGCTATGCACTACAACCTTCCTTGCCTCTCCCAAATACTATTTCTATAGACTTCTCACTTGTGTTTCCAGTCCTAACCTCTCTTATGAGGGCCAAATCCATGTCTAACCGCCATCCATACATTTCCATCAGGAAATCCCACAGGCACGTCAAAGTCCACAAGGCCAAATTGCAACAGCCCTGTATGGTACTTATGTGCCCATACAATTTAGACCCTCACAAGGTCCTTTGAAGTCAATATTGGCTCTTCTTTTTCATTCTTATTTCACTTTCCAGACCCAGATTAACCTACTGCCTTGTTTGGAAGCCCTCCATAACCTTAGGCAGAATTCATTTCTACGTTCTCCATATTCTCAGTTTTAGTATATATCCTTAATACTATACTTAGACCTTTTTGTTGTGATTATTGAAGTAATTATCTTTCTCTTCTGCTACACCATAAACCTCTAAGGCAGATGACATTTTTGTTGCTGTCTTGTTTTGCTTTGAATGGATTAATTTGGAAACACTCAAATCAAATGCTGTTTTTACAAGAAAATTGTTACAGTAGGTATGAGTTGAAGCGTCTCTTACTTTCGACATATGTGCAAGTGATTCTAATGTGTTCTAAGGACTGAAAATCACTGAATTACACAAATAGCTAGACTGAGAGTACTGCTAACACAATAAATATTTAAAATAAATCTTAGGGTGTAAGTATACACTCTTATATTTGGTTATATAGCTGATATTTCACTCTAATGATTTCTGGTGATGGCAACAATTTTCTAAGTAGTGTATCAAATCATCCTATTTAGTTTCAGCCACATTTTTTTAAGATGGAATTTCACTCTTGTTGCCCAGGCTGGAGTGCAATGCCATGATCTCGGCTCACTGCAACATCTGCCTCCCATGTTCAAGTGATTCTCCTGCATCAGCCTTCTGAGTAGCTGAGATTACAAGCATGCACCACCACGCTCGGCTGATTTTTTGCATTTTTAGAAGAGATGGGGTTTCACCATGTTGGCCAGGCAGGTCTTGAGCTCTTGACCACAGGTGATCCACCCGCTTCAGTCTCCCAAAAGTGCTTGGATTACAGGCGTGAGCCACCATGCCCGGCCTAGCCTGTACACATTTAAAACACCCTGACTGTTGGATAAAATAAATATTGTGATGGAAAGATGGAGCCATTTACTGAAGAAAAGTAGGTTGCAAAACAACCTGGCCAGGCACAGTGGCTCAAGCCTGTAATCCCAGCACTTTGGGAGGCCAAGGCGGGTGGATCATGAGGTCAAGAGATCGAGACCATCCTGGTCAACATGGTGAAACCCCGTCTCTACTAAAGATACAAAAAATTAGCTGGGCATGGTGGCGCGTGCCTGTAACCCCAGCTACTAGGGAGGCTGAGGCAGGAGAATTGCCTGAACCCAGGAGGTGGAGGTTGCAGTGAGCGTAGATCGCTCCATTGCACTCCAGCCTGGGTAACAAGAGCGAAACTCCGTCTCAAAAAAAAAAAAAAAAAAAAACCTGTACAAAATATTCCCATTTAGTAGCAACTGCATAGATGGGTACATATGTGTACAAAAAAATTATGAACAACATACACTAAGTTGCTGACAGTAGTGATCTTTAGCTGGTGGAAATGTGGTGTTTATTTAATATTTTACTTATGTGCCCAACATAAGCTGTTTTTATAATAACTAAGTAAAAAAATAAATGCATATATCTCCCATCGGAATTGGTAGGAATCTAGAGGGGAAAGTAATTAATATAAATTGAATGCTTTATGCATCAGGCAGTATGCTGGATGTTGGGGATAGAACAATTAATAATGTAAGGACAGGTCTAGAGAAGTTAAACATCATATCCATGGGTTGTATAAACAAATAATAGAATTGGGATTAAATCCAGGTATTTATGATTCCAAAATAATATTTATTCCATTTCGTCTTGGTTCTATGGGTCCAGTATCATTCCTGGGCAAAACTTAAGATTTTTCGGCTCCACCCACATTATTTCCTGCTATGAATCACGAGGATCATTACCATGGGGCCTGTTTCAGGATACTCTTCATTCATCAACTTAATCTTTATCATCTTTCCTAATGTTTTGGTCAACTAATCTGATACAATAATTTATGTAAAAGAATTGATGTATTAGTCATTGTACTGAACACCCAAGTGCCATGTTTGTGCAGCCCATTACGCTTGATGTTGGGATGAAGGAGCTCATTTTCAAGTGGAGGGTATGGAAAGCTAAACACTCACAAAGCTGATTGCACCACAATCTTGTAAATGCTATAATAAAGAAAACAACAAAACAGTCACTGTGAGCATGGAGAAGTTAAATGCTTAAATCTGTACTGGAAGTCACAGAGAGCTTAATAAGAAAGTAAGTAGGCAAAGGGCATATGGAGCAAAGACCAATACCTGTGCAAAATAAACATGTAACAGTGAAGAACCCTCCTTCCTAAGGATCAGGTTGACCATTTTATGGAAACCTCCTACAAACAGATTGCACTTACATTGATGCCAATTTCCAGTGCTAAGTGTCTCTGGGTTTGCAGCAGACTAGCAAGTGTGAAATACTTTCAGGCAACCCTTTCAGCAGATCTCACAGTAACATCTCTTAAAACAAAAACCTGTGGCTTATGCAGCCTCTCTTTCATTTTAGTACATGTCATTCTCACTGAACTGCATCCCTGAGCAGCTCACACAGTGACATGTTTAATGTAGCTGGGTTACCTAATAATATTTGCAGAAATTAGAAAGCTGTCTGGAGAGCTTTGTGAATTGCTTTCTAAATCACTCTGAATTATCAGCTAATGAAAAAATTTTGGCAAATTGTTTAACACTGAGTACAAGCGGATAAAAATCAACCTCTGGAACATTCAATTTTGTTTATCATTAATGCTAGAGTATATTTAACGGATGCATTTTTTTCCAGAGTAGTCACCTCAATTTATTCCAGTAGGTATCCTTGATAAGTAAATTATTTCAACCCTTTTTAAAAGAAAATAGAAATTAACTCATTCCAAAGAGTAAAGGAGAGGAACATAAACTTTTGGATCCAAAGTATGCTTGGAGAGAAATATGTGAAAAGGTAGTTAGTGATAAAGAGAATTAACATTTTATGCATAGCTATAAGTAACTGAGGCCTTTCAGGCATCAGTGATAGGTAATATATACATAAATATTTGCACTTCCTTATGTTCTTTAAGTGAGCTGTCTTTATGAGCTTCCTGAAGTGTTGACATCTTTTTCAATTATTTCACAGTCACAGGTTACATAATTAATTGTAGTTCTATAGATCAGGGTCTCAGAATTAGAAAATATTTCAAAATAACTAGACAGTTACAAAACATAAACATACACATAGACCAGCTTTTAAAAAGTTAAGCCATGTGATTGGCATCAAAAAGATATATCCAAAAATACAAAAAAAGTTAAGAGTGAGTCAGTGATGAAATTAAGGGCCAAGACAGAGAAGAAATCAGACATGTCTTCTATTTCTTCTCTAAAATCCCACCCCAGGTAGAAAGTGTTATTTACTCTAAAAATGTTTTGTACATATCCCAAAATAATTGCAAGAATACCAAAAAAAATTCTCTATTGCCTACAAGAAGATAGGCAGTGAATACTTTGGTGAAGTTATTTGGTAACATTTAAAGAAATTTTTAGTAAATATTTTATTTATATTTATTTATTTGTTTATGTATTTATCTTTTAAGAGATGGGGTTTCACCATGTTGGCCAGGCTGGTATCGAACTCCTAACCTCGTGATCCATCCGCCTCAGCCTCCCAAAGTGCTGGGATTACAGGCGTGATATTTTTTAAAGTTAAAAGACAAACTATAAAACATGCTTCAAAATTAATTTCAGACAAAAAGCAATCAAATATTTTAAATGAATCTTCAAACCTAAATGGTTGCAGGAGAAAAGATTAATTTCCAGTGCCAAATAAGATTTATACATGTTCCTTCCTGTTGTAATATCACATATGGGTAAGTTTATGAATGGATAAGCTCAATAGCCGGAACTGAAAATAAATTAGGGCAAAGTTTACCAAAAAACGGTGGAAAACACAACAGGATTCTATATTATTTAAGAGTAAATATTTATTTATTGACTTAAAACTTTAAACTCTAGGTGTCCAGAGACAATTACATTCGTCCAGTAAACATTTACTTATTGCCTTTCATTTGCTAAGTATCAGTGGAGAAATGAGGCAATATAAAGATGACAGTTACATTCTCTGCACTCAAGGCATTTACAACTGAGATGGAGACACATGCGTGCACAAAAATACAACTTGCTGCTACGTAACAACAATTATATTAGCCTTTATAACAATGGCTAGAAACAAAAGTTCACTTTTTTTATTTCTTATAACAATGGCTAAAAAACGAAAACTTACTATTTTTATATTTTTAAATGATTTTTAGTACGATTTATTTTATTAACTTACTCGGATTTGTGACTGAACAGCATGTTGTGTGTATAGACCAAGACAGCATCTGAGTGCCCATACATTTAAGGAAAATCACACTGACAAAATCCTAATCCTAGGTCAGCATAACCTGGCCAGTTTTGAAAAATGGCAAATATTCCTTCTCACTTCCAATAGTCTCACATATGAAGAATTACCTTTATTTCACAGCAGTCTACAATTTATATTTATCTGAGCCCCAGTGTACTTTTCTTCGACTTCACAGTATTAATCTCAGCTCATCGGAAACAAACTTACTGTGTTCTTGATATTGCATACTATTACATTGTAGGTTTATAACATCACTACTTTTTAACAACACATACTTTAGAAAAAATTTTTTGAACTTCATAAAATAAAATCTTATTAAGAATATTTTCTTTAAGAAGGTGCTATTTTTGGTGTTTGATTTTTCTTTTACTGTGAATTACCTCTTAAGCAGAACTAAGAAATGTCAAATATTCTCAAATATAACATTTTCTATTAAAAACAACAGCAAAAATATCTAGTCTGTATCTTAGATCAGTATACATTCTTCCCAGCCTGCCATACATTCCACATTCACATTTCCTGCTTTGCATGTTGGCTCCAATGCACTGTGCAAGTTTTTCAGACAACATACATTCAAATATATTCACAAGTCTTGATAGTACTAAGGCAACAAGTGAAAAAATACACATTCTTTTATCCGTTTAAGGACAGATAATAACAACTTAAATAAGGTTTGAAAGATAAAAAAAAATGGTTGTTTCAACTTTCAGATTAATTCTGAAATCCTGCACTCCTAAAGTGTTCAGACTAATTAAGAGTTTGATACAAACACAAGATTCTATGAAAACTTCTTTAAAAGAGAATACACTTTAGAAAAGCATTTCAGCACTAACAAGGTAAAACTATATACACCAAGATCACAACTTCAAAACTTTTTCCAAAAGTAGGTAATCTAAACTAGAAATTGGAATATATTTTCCAATCGAACAATGCTATAAAACTATGGTAAGCTCTCCAGAAAAGATATAGAAACACCTTGCTTACTAGAAAAATTTCTCTTTGTATACCATTTATCTGCAATGAAAAATAACTAAAAACAATGTTGTTGTAATACTGGTAACGAGAAGAAAAAGGGAATATATGTAATTGTAAGACCATGACTTGCATCTCCTTAAAGAAACAGAATATATGTATCACTCAAAGAGAGAATGCAACTAAAGATTAACCAAAATTCTTTGTATGAAAATTCAAAAAGATGGTGTTGGACAGGAGTCAAAAAGTCTTAAAGCCAAGTTTTCATTGACCGAAAGATCACTCACTACCTCTGCTTGGAGGAGTACAGGTTAAGTTGTGCTGGTTCCACCTGGAAAGCAAAAGACACACTGAGTTAATTGCAAAAAAAAAAAAAAAGCATAAAGAAGTAAAATCAAGCAGAACTGAATGGTAAATCTGTGCACCTGGAGAACAAGGCATCCATCCTTAGCTCCAGAAGCCTGCGTAGTTTCCATGGAGGCCTGCAGGGAGGGGTCCCCCACCCACAAAGAGCTTCATCTCAGGCCAGTTGTAGCAGTGGGTGTACAGCGCGCTGGGCAACTCTTCCATGCCACCAAAGTAATTAAACCAGAAATCATCCTGGTTGAGCCAGCCTCTGCCACAGTCAAGCTTGAGCTTCCTCCCTGAAGGTTCCAGAGCGGAGTCGAGGCCGGTAGGAGCTCTCTCCTCAAGGAACTTCTGGGCGCGGATGTCATAGAAGAGCAGGGTGCCCTGGCCAGTGCCCACAGTGATCAGGTGGTGGTAGAAGCTCAGCGACCGCACGCCCATGCCACCGTCTCGAGAGCACAGGGGCGGGATGTTCTGCTGGCCCTGGCGCAAATCCAGGAAGGAGACGTGGGAATGAGAGCCCACAGCGTACACGGACAATTCATCACAATAGGTCAGGCACACATTATCCCGGAAGTAGGGCAGCCTGATGGACAGCAGCCTAGATAGTGTGCTCCGGGCTTTCCACAGGTGAAAATAGCCATCCAAGGACACCCCTCCCAGCTCCTGGTTCTTGCCGCTGAAGGCCAGGGCTCGCACTTTGCGGTTGTTCGGGTTGGTGCTGACCCTGGGGATGGACTGCACATCACTCGGACTAATGTGGGCATATAAGGGGAGACCCACCTCACTGTGCCAGGCAATAGTGCCATCGAACATGTCCGGGTCCATCCGCCACAGCGCCACGGTGCCGTCGCGGGAGCCGCTCACAGCCACGGTGTCACTCAGCCAGGCGATGGCAAAGATCCAGTCCTTGTGGCCATGGCGGTCGCCCAGGCACAGGGGATCCAGGGTGGGCAGCCGGTAGATGGCCAGGCTGTTGGGGTTTTTGCCGCCGGTGGCTAGAAGCGTCTTGGAGGGATTCAGCTCGATGGCATGGATGCCGCAGTTCCGACGGGCCTGGGCCAGGTCGGCATCCTTGTCCTGCATGAGGGGGATGCGTGTGATGTGGCCCGACTGCACGTCCACCACCAAGAGCGTGTTACACTTGGTGCCCGCACACCACCTGCCTGGAGTTCAGCCACTGAGACGCGAACACCTTGTTGACGGTGCCCAGGTCTAGCTCGCGCTCCGTCAGCAGCTCTGGCAGCCTCTGTGCCGTATATCCCCGCAGCTCGCTCTCGAAGCCCGGGAGCCCCGCGGGGGCCCCACCTGCCTACCTCCCGGCCCTTCAGATAATGCACCACGGAACGACGCGTCGCCGGCCACCTCCGCCTCTTGGGTAAAGCGGCCCCCCTCCGTTCGCCAAGCCCTGCGACGGCGAGCTCCCGGCGTCCGCCTCAACTGCCGACGCGCTCCGCTTCCTGCTACCTGTTTGCTCCTGGGCCGTGGTGGGCGGCGGGAGAGCGGCGGCAGCACGGCGTTGGTGGCGGTGGCGGCGGCGACGCCTGGCTCTCCTGTGGCCATGACGGCGGCGTGGATGGCTGCGCTTCCGCGTCAGCCCGGACCGCGGGGTCTCTAAGGCTGAGGTGGAGGTGTCTGCTGGCACCTAGCCTTCGGAGTCTGAGGCGCGGCAGCGACGGACCGGCGAGGGACACGCGGACTAGGACGGCGGTAGAGGTGCAGACCTAGGCGAGGGCGGGAAGTGCGTCTAGCCGGCCGGGCGAGAATAAAGTCAACGTGAGGCGAGATCGACGCGGGGGGTCTAATGGAAGGGGCGGAGGCAGTGGGAGGAGCCGAGGAGCCGGCAAGCGGGAGTGAGGGCGGGGGTGTAGCTGAGGCCCAGCAGAGTGAAGTCTGGGAGGCACAGGGAGGGGAGGGGTCCGAACAGGGAGGGGAGGGGTCCGAGAGGGAAGGGAGGGGTCCAAGCAGGGAGGGGGTAGTGGAGCTGCAAGGGCAGGGTCGGAGGGTCAGGACTCCAGGATCCCCCGGATCAAACCTGCGGCGTTTTTATACCCTCAGGACAACAGCTAACTACTCTTCTTAAAATCCCTACTTCAGTAAAATCTGAAACATAAGATATAGTCAAGCACGGGAATGGAAGGAGCCCGGGCCACTGTCTGTCTCGCGAAACTGTAATCCTGGGACACCCTTCTCTAAGATTAGACATTAAACTTGGCAAGGGATGGGGAATTCCGCAGCTGCAGGGAAACTTTTACCCATATGTTAGACTTGCAACCCCTCCAGTTTCAGCCCCTCAGTCGATGTCTTAAGCAGTTACAACCAAATATTTTTTCCCTCCTCAAATTGAGGTCTCTGAACTACTACACCACAGTCCTTTGAGGTGTACAATCCAAATGCAAATGCCTGGGCTCCACATTTGGCCCATGGTGAGTGATGTCAGAGAACACTTGGTTGGTGTAGCCTCGAGAAAATGGCGGGCTGTACTGATGGGGGAGGAATCCCGAGGGGCTTTTTGGAGTTGTTTGTTTCCTTTGAGCCTCAGAGCCCTAAGGAGATGGAGTGGAAGAATCCGGGGAGGAGGACCTCTTCCCCACTTCTGAGAGGCAAAGTTAATATCCCTGTTGTCAGTCACAGAGGCGCCTAAGCAGAGTCCCTGGGACCTTGGGCCAGGGTCTCAAGGCATAGGATTTTCACAAGCAGAGAAAAACATTACGTTCCAGAGGAAGGAAAAAGCATGGATACAATGATGCAAGTGTAGCGGTTCTGTGCCTAAGCATGACTTCTCAGGGATCATCAGGTTCTTATCCAGTTCTGCTGCTTCAGAGCAGCCCGTCAGGTGGTAGGCCCAAACGAGGAGTGCTCAGTTAAGGAGAGGCAAGTTAATATCCCCGTTGTCAGTTACAGAGGCACCTAAGCAGAGTGCTTGGGACCTTGGGGCAAGGTTTCAAAGCATAGGATTTTCACAAGCAGAGAACATTACGTTCCGGAGGAAGGAAACAGCATGGATACAATGATGCAAGTGTAGCGGTTCTGTGCCTAAGCATAACTTCTCAGGGATCATCACGTTCTTATCCAGTTCTGCTGCTTCAGAGCAGCCCGTCAGGTGGTAGGCCCAAACGAGGAGTGCTCAGTTAAGGAGAGGCAAAGTTAATATCCCCGTTGTCAGTTACAGAGGCACCAAAGCAGCGTCCTTGGGACCTAGGGGCAAGGTTTCAAAGCATAGGATTTTCACAAGCAGAGAACATTACGTTCCGGAGGAAGGGAACAGCATGGATACAATGATGCAAGTGTAGCGGTTCTGTGCCTAAGCATAACTTCTCAGGGATCATCACGTTCTTATCCAGTTCTGCTGCTTCAGAGCAGCCCGTCAGGTGGTAGGCCCAAACGAGGAGTGCTCAGTTAAGGAGAGGCAAAGTTAATATCCCCGTTGTCAGTTACAGAGGCACCAAAGCAGCGTCCTTGGGACCTAGGGGCAAGGTTTCAAAGCATAGGATTTTCACAAGCAGAGACATTACGTTTCCAGAGGAAGGAAACAGCATGGATACAATGATGCAAGTGTAGCGGTTCTGTGCCTAAGCATAACTTCTCAGGGATCATCACGTTCTTATCCAGTTCTGCTGCTTCAGAGCAGCCCGTCAGGTGGTAGGCCCAAACAAGGAGTGCTCAGTTAAGGAGAGGCAAAGTTAATATCCCCGTTGTCAGTTACAGAGGCACCTAAGCAGAGTCCTTGGGACCTAGGGGCAAGGTTTCAAAGCATAGGATTTTCACAAGCAGAGAACATTACGTTCCGGAGGAAGGGAACAGCATGGATACAATGATGCAAGTGTAGCGGTTCTGTGCATAAGCATGACTTCTCAGGGATCATCAGGTCCTTAGCCAGTTCTGCTGCTTCAGAGCAGCCAATCAGGTGGCAGGCCTAAACAGGGGCGTGCTCAGTTACCCAGTGATTTCAGTTACACAGTGATACATTGTGAAGAGAGGCTGGCAGCTAATACCCGTGGTGATGAATTTATTTCCCAATCAGGGAAAATCATAGGAGTTGTTTTGTTGCTGCTTTTCCCCAGCTCCCTTTTTATTTTTCTGATTTTCTGACCCCTTCCCCCATCCCTTTTAGCAACTTCACCTCAAGTTCACAAATTCCAAGTAAAAGCCATAGGTCCTTCTCACCACCAATTCAGCTGCTGAATGTTGCACTGCAACACTCTCTTGCACCTCAATTTTGAGTCCTCCCCATATTATTCATCCTATAGCAACAGAAAGGCAGCATCTGCTGGTGGTAGTGAACATGAAATTAGGGACAGATTCTTAGAGGAACCTGCATTTTGTTTCCACACATGGAAAGAGGCAACCATATGTGAAAAGGCACAGATGATGCAGAGGATTGTTTCATGAATTTTAGTGTACATTAACATCTCAGGAGCAGCTTAACAGATAGGTACAACCTTCGATTCTATCCCTAAAGATTTGATGCAAATGATCAGTGGACAATTATTTGAGAAACACTTGTCTACATGCCTCTCACTCAGATGGGGACAGGACGTGTTGCAGGTAGGAGATAAATATCTTCATGCACTTCAGGGCTACCTTGAAAATAGGCCTTATCCAGGTGAATATAGTGCAAGAATTGGGAATTTAAAAGGCTATGATGTAGAGGTCAGAGAAAAGCTTGGCCTAGGGAGGGAAATTGTACCTCTTATGCATATAGAACTTATTATACTTTACTATTACCTACACCTTCACTATACTGTTATATTAACAGGCATTGCTGCAAGTGAGGAAGGATAATAGGGTCTGGAGGCAGGGAACCTAAGGCCGTTTCCGGCTGACTTCCTAGAACTAAATTGAAAGGAAAACCCTAACTTCCCACGCCTAAGTAACAAAAGGACCAAAGGCTACTCCCTTTACATACCCCCACTTTTTCTGCACCTGCAGATGGGAGATTGAAAGTACCTCTGATGGGTTGATTTTTGCAACCAATCAGATGATTCCATAGGAGTGTAACTATGTAACTTCAGTTTCTGATTGGTTGCTGTCCACAATCAGACTGATTGCAGGCCAAGGCTTCATTTGCATAGAAGTCCAACTGTGTAACTTCACTTCAGCCTCTGACTGGTTACTTTCTGCAACCAATCAGACTGATTGTGGGCCATCCCTTCATTTACATGAGGTGAGTGCCAAGTGGCCATTGGGAAGCATCTAGAGCCTATTTGGACCCAAGAAGATTCTGTATCTGGGGCCCTTGAGCTGCTACTGGGGTCCACTCCCACACTGTGGAGTGTACTTTCATTTTCAATAAATCCCTGCTTTCATTCCCTCATTGCTTCATTCTTTCCTGCTTTGCTGTGTCTTTTGTCCAATTTTTTTTCAAAACACGAAGAACCTGGACAAGTTGCAGTCAAGACCCTCTACGGGTAACACAAGAACAAATACTATCTCATTTAAGTCACCCTTGTAATAGCAGTAACTACTAACTGCTGGTTCAACACTAAAAAGTCAGAGAGTGTAAATTGCCATTTCAACAATATTTTATAAATAATACGATCACATCAACTGACACAGGAATAGCATTGACAAAATCCAACCCCCATTTGTAATTTAAAACTCTCAGCAAGCTGGAAATAAAGGAGAATTTCCTTAACTTTGTAAAGGACATGTACAAAAATTTACAACAAGCATCATATGTAAAGGAGAGAAATTAGATGCTTTACACCTAAGATCAGAAACAAGGCAAGGTTTTCTGCTTTTACCACTTTTACCTAACTGTAACTGGAATTTTTACCCAGTGTAATATGGCAAGAAAAAGAAATAAAAGCTCTACAGATAGGAAAGAAAGACATGAAACTGTCTCTATTTGCAGATGTAATGATTGCCTACATAGAAAATCCCTAGAAATCTAAAAAGAAAAGCAAAATTCTTAAAACTAAAAAGTGAGTTCAGCAAGTTCATAGAATGCAAGTCAATGCTCAGAAATCAGTTTCATTCCTATATACCAACAATGAACAAAATGGAGAATGACATTAAAACAAAATACCATTTAAATCACATAACTAAAGTAAATAATTACATATAAATTTACCAAAATATGTACAGGATCTGTATGGTGAAAAGCACAAAAAAATAATACATGGAATTAATTAAGACCTAAATACATGCCAAGTTTATGCATTGGAACACACAGCGTATGTCAACATTCCTGACTGATTTACAGTTCTAGAGCAATTCCTGTCAAAATCTCAGCAGGGTATTTTTGGAGCTTGTTCTAAAATTGATATATAAAGGTAAAGGCCCTAGAATAGCTAAAGCAATCTTGAATAAGGTGAAAAAAATCACTCTACCCAACATTAAGACCTACTACATAGCCACAATAATCAAGACAGTGTGATACTAGCACAGTGATAGACAAATCCAAAATTCGAATAGATAATCTAGAAATAGACACACAATAATGCACCTAGCTGACATTTGACAAAGGTGCAAAGGCAATTTCAATAAACAGCTGGAGAAACTGAACATCTATAAGCAAAAAAAAAAAAAATGAACCTTGACCCAAACGTCTCTTCTTAAACAAATTCAGTAAAAAGTTACAGGATACAACATCGACATACAAAAATCAGTAGCATTTCTATATGCCAGAAGTGAACAATTCCAGGTAATTTTTGTGTATCAGTTCTAACAGTTTTGTTGCCATCTTTAGGTTTTTCCAAATATAAGATCATATCTGCAAACAAATTTGACTTCTTTCTTTCCGAGTTGGATGCCCTTTATTTCTTTCTCTTCTCTGATTCCTCTAGCTAAGAATAGATTGCACACAAATTTAAAACATAAAATCATGCATCTCTTAGAAAAAAGCATAGATGAAGATATTTGAGCTTTATCCTTAAAAGGAAAACTGATAAACTGAACTTCATCAAAATTATAAGTTTTTACTCAGTGAAAAACCCTGTTAAGGGGACCAGAGGACAAGCTATAGACTGGGAGGAAATGTATGAAAACTGTATACTGAACAAAAGTCTCCTGTCTTGAATATATAAGTACTCTTAAAACTCTCAAAACATCACACCTGTAATTCCAGCACTTTGGGAGGCCAAGGCAGGCAGATCACATGAGGTCAGGAGTTCGAGACAAGCCTGGCCAACATGGTGAAATTCCATCTCTATTAAAAATAAAAATTAGCCGGTCATGGTGGTGGGCCCCTGTAAGCCCATTTACTTGGGAGGCTGAGGCAGGAGAATTTCTTGAGTCTGAGGTCGAACCACTGCACTGCAGCCCAAGCAACAGAGCAAGACTCCTTCAAAAAAATAAATAAATAAAAAACTCAAACAGTAAAAAATAATTATTATTCAATTAGAAAATGGGTAAAAGACATAAACAGCCATTTAATTGCAGAAGAGTTTTAAGATTTTTTAAATATTCAAGACTCTAGTCTGTTGTTGGGGATATAGTTTCCAAACATTTCCTCCCAGTCTATAGCTCAATCTGTCTTATATAAATTCCAACATATCTTCACACAAAATCCTGCACTTGGATGTTTATGGCAGCTCTATTTGTAATAGCCAAAATCTGGAAACAACCTTGGTAACTTCCAATGGATGAATAATTAAACAAATTGTGCTATATCCATATATTGTCTCTGCTCAGCAGTCAAAAAGGAACACACTCTGTCAATGTATGCTACCACTAAGATAAATCTCAGCAGAACTATGTTGAATAAAAAATGCCAATATCAGAAGGCTACACACTGTATGATTCCATTAATATAACATTCTTTAAGTGACAAATTTATAGAACTAGAGAACAAATTAGTGGTTACAGGGGTAAAGAAGGGGAGTGAGAGTGGGAGGGAAGTGGGTTTATCTATAAAAGGGCCATAGTATCACTGTAGTGATGAAAATGTTCTATATCTTAACTTTATCAATACCAATATTCTGATGGTGATATTCTAATATAGTTATTTTTTAATTGGGGGGAGGTGAGTAAAGTGTACACTGGATCTCTATATTTTTTCTATAGATTGTATGTGAACACAATTTTTTCAAAATTTAAAAAATAGTTGAAAACCAT